GGAGAAACAGTTCATGATGCCCACATGGTAGGGAAAGCAAAAGGACCTTAATTAACAGTGTCTTTCTGTCTCTTTCATGTTATTCAGACTACTTAGGGCGGGTAGCACTCCACCCTTAATCCCAGTGCCCTTGGGCTTACCCCATCATGAATCAATCACATACTCTAGTCAGACACCTAGAAAAAGCATGAGGCTTTGGGGGGACAGCTAAACACAAGCCATAACAGTTGTAGTACACCAGTCCCTCAACAACACTGATCCGTAGCCACCATATGACATGCGAAAAAAAAATATGGTGAATGTTTAAATAAAAAAATTTATTACAGAAAGATACATTGCTATCACTCTACCTCGAAATCCACCCTACCCACCCCCCCCCCCCACCCGCGCCGCCCTTTGAACACTTATTCCATCATACATGCCACTTTCTGAAGCGGTTCTGGAAGTCCTCTTTTGTGAAAGTCTTTAAAAGGTATAACTGAAAATATGGTGAATGTTGCTGCTGAGAGCCATCCAATTGAAAGGTAGGCTGGAAAAAACATGGTGTGTCCTCATTTACCTTTCTCACTGGCACTGTGGCACTTCTGGCTCATCCTCAAAGTCAAAATAACCATAAAAAGGAAATGTTATGAAGACATTCATAAAAAAGAACTTCCAAAACTGCTTCAGAAAGTGGCAAGAAGGATGGCATATGTGTGTTCAAATGAAGGGGAGCACTTTGAGGGGAATTAATGGCAACGTGTCTTTTATGGTAATTATGTGTTCTTTTAAACAATGTAGGCTGGGATTTAGCTCAGTAGTTCCACCTCCTGCCTCGCAAGCACAAGGTCCTGAGTTCAATCCCCAGTACCAAAAAAAAAAAGTAAACATTCACTGGATTTTGCGACCACACCTCATATACTAACCATAACTGCATGAAGCACAAACTTTGTGGCTAGCTATATAGTTCCAACTAACAGCCAGGAACCATGCTCAGGGACCAATCCTATAACTTCTTCAAATGTCTCATGGTGATTGGTTACTACACACCTGAATAATAGTTCAGGAGGGTAGAAAAGTGTGTAGCTGTGCTGTTCTCGTTTCTCAGTGATAAATCTATGTAAAATTTACAGAAAATGAAACAATGAAATAAAGAACTAGCAAAAAAAGGATGAAAAATGCACCCTAAAAGCCCAAAAATGATAATACTGGAAGTGAAGCTGGATGTGAATAAAGATTTAAAAATAGTACAGCAAGAAGAGAGATGACCCTAGGCTTATACATACAATGGCATGGGCATACTGAAAGTTCTATGATCATAAAAAAAAATGTAAAGTAGTTTTAGTAACACCTTTCAGATTAAAATTGCACTAGGAACAGAAATTAAGTTAGGGCAAAAATAGGAATACTTCGGAGAGAATTTTCTTTTTTGTACCGGGGATCGAACTCAGGACCTTGCACTTGCGAGGCAGGCGGCGGAACCAATGAGCTAAATCCCCAGCCCTGGAGAGAATAATTTTTAAAAAATCATAATCATTCAAGGTAAGTTAGTTGACATGTTGCAAGGAAAGTAGAGATACCTTTCTACTCTGAGTAAAGGCTGACTTCATCAAGTTACTATGAAATAATTGGTCTTAATTGCTAAAGTTGCTTCTGTGAAATCTGCACCAAGTCCAAGCAGCTGTAAAGACAAGCAGTTCTGAGGCAAAAGATGAAGTCCCTGGAGGTGATGTTAACAAAACTCCTCTCAGGAAAGAACTCTTGGAGATACTTCACAACACTGAAAATGCAATGGATAAAAGGCTAGAAATGGATCCAAGTTTGGAAATGAGTGTAACAACTGAAGCTTGGAATTCTTGCTCTGGATCAGGTTATACCATAAGAAGGCAAGCAGCATCCTAACCACTCTTGAGTTTCTAACATTTTAAATTACACTGTAGTAAGTAAATACTGGTTTCATTATTTTTTCATTTTCTTACATATTACAACAAAGAGTAAGAGAGTTTTAGTATTTTTACAAAAGTTTTTAAAGGTCACAATCATTGTAATCTTTCCCACTGATAAGGTCACTATGCAGTTCAGCTTGCATCGTTATTTTTATTTCCTGCACTAACATGTAAAGCAACAAATGTGTACATACCTGATATGGCTTGTGTCTAGATGTCCTCCTAAAGCCTCATGGGAATAAGGTGGGGCTTTTTTGGAGGTGGCTGGATCTGGAGTGTGTAATGCTAGAATTGATTCATGGTGCAATGCTAGACTCAAAAGACCACTAGGATTAAGAGTGTTGAGTGCTACCCGCTCTAAATCATCTGGATAAAATAAGGGGCAGGAAGATGCTATTAAGGTACCGTGTTGCTTTGCTACATCCGGTTTGCCATGAACTGCTGCCCCTCTGCCATGTGCCACTCTACCTTGGAGCCAGCTGATTATGGACTGAAACCTCTACAAACTCTGAGCTAAATAAACCCTTTCCCTTTAACTTTCAGTGTTGGGTATTTTGTCTCCGTAAGGAGACAAAATTAAGACAGTACCCCTACATCTGATAGTGATCAGATAACTCATGATCAGATAACTGCTCCTTGTCCCACAAAGAGGCACTGGGGGAAAATGAGCAAGTAAAAAGTTTGAAAAGACAGGTAAGGTGCAAGAGGAGAAAGCAAGCTATAGAAGTGGAACACAAGGTAAAGATGGTCTGAAAGGTAGAGAAGGAAAAAAGAACAGAGAAAGAGGCACAAAAAGGTCAATTAAAATTATCACTAAAGGGTGAAAATTGGAGAAGATGAAAAAAACAGAGACTACAAAGCCATCTGAAGTGTTATGCCTAGATCTGTGGTTAGTTCTTGGGGTTTGCACTTCACTGTGAAATGGTCCCTGCACTTTCCTCTGCCTGACAGATACGTCCTGACTTCTAGGAGCATGTAGCATATTCCTTTATGCTCTTTAAATCTCTGCCCACAGAAGCTTTTCTGTACACCATCACTTTCTCCCCTCATTTTTTTTTTTTTTTGCATTGGGGATCAAATTTGAGACCTTGCACTTGCGAGGCAGGAGGCAGCACCACTGAGCTACATCTCCAGGCCCCCGCCCCCTTTTTGAGACAAGGTCGCACTATGTAGTTTAGGCCGGTCCTGAACTCACTATGTATCCCAGTGTGGCACTGAACTCAGTGATCCTCCTGAATGCTGGGATTACTCCCTTCACCTTTTATTCTCTTTACACTATTTCTTTTCATCATACATTCCTTGTTAAACCCACTCTATAGAGTAATGGAGACTTTGTACCATCTTAGTCACTGCAGTATTTCCCCAGATCCTAAAATGATGTGTATCTTCCCTGGCATAAACATGGCATTCATAATGTTTCTCCCTAAACAAAGTTTTATGAAGAAACAGATCTATTATTAAGTAAAAATATAGGATTTAACCTAATTAGCAAGGTTCCTTTTAAAAGAATATATTAAATTACTGGCGTACAGGTGCACACCTATGATCTCAGCTATTCAGGAGTCTGAGGTGGGAGAACTGCTTGAGCCTAGTAGCTCAAGACCAGATTGGGGAACACTGTGAGACCCATTGCAAAAACAAAATAAAAAGACAATCTATCTAATGTGTATATAGAAAAAGATGTGCAAAGATACTCATTAAAATTGTCACCAATCAGTATCATTCTGAGGGGTGGGACCAACAAGGTAGGTAGAGAACACAATGATTTTGAATATATTCTGAATATATATCACCTCTTATGATTGTTAACTATTGTGTCAATCTGAGTAAGAAAGGCCCAACTGATCCCAAATGACTGGCTTAGCATAGCTCTGGATGTGTCTAAGGGATTTATTGAAGAAGGAAGACCCACCCTGGGTGTGGGTGGCACCAACCAATAGGCCTGTCTCCTGGGTTCCAGCACCAACCCTTTGTCTTCCTGATATGGACTTGCTCAGACACTATACTGAGCTCTAGGCTTTTGAATTCTGACTGCATCTTTTGGAACTCCAGTGCTCAGACAGCCCTTTTGCACTCTTCCAGACCTGACTGTGTGTGTGGCCATTGTAAACCTACCTTATAAATTCACATAGGGCCAGGGATTTAGCTCAGTGACAGTCCTATTATGTTGCTAGACTGGTCTCAAAGTCCTGGGCTCAACCGATCCCACCTCAGATTCAGTAATAAATGGGTGTAGAAGCATACAATAACATAACCACCTTTTCCTTTTTTTTTGGTACCGGGGATTGAACTTGGGACCTTGTGCTTGCAAGGCAGGCAGCAGAACCACTGAGCTAAATCCCCAGCCCACCAGAGCTTTTTTTTTTTTTTTGGTACCAGGGATCGAACTCCAGTCCTTGTGATTGCGCAGCAGGCGGCAGAACCACTGAGCTAAATCCCCAGCCCACCAGAGCTTTTTTTTTTTTTTTTGGTACCAGGATCGAACTTGGGTCCTTCCACTTGAGATGCAGGTGGCAGAACAACTGAGATAAATCCCTGGCCCCTATATCCACCTTTTCATACTGTTTTTTTATATCATCTGATTATTTTTCCAAAAAAACATTACTTTTGGAATTAAATTATGAATAAAGAAAAACCATGCATTACCTGTTGCTATGATGCCATTTTTGACAGCAGTAATGACTGAGTGTGTGTTTCAGGGAGGATCTATACTAAGCCCATCAACTTGTTTAAATATACAAGAATTCTATGAGGCAGGTGTTGTTAAATACACTCACTTTTAATCCCAGCACTCAGGAGGCTGAGGGAGGCTAGCCTAAATTACACAACGAGATTCTATCTCAAAAACATTACAAAAAAAAGAAAAGAAAAGAGAAACAAAATGTAAATACACTCACTTTATAAATGATGCAAATGGAAATCAGAGAGGTGGAGAAATGTTTTCAGGTCATAAAGTCAGAAAAGCCATATAAAAAGACGCACCCAGAAAAATTATGTGAAATTGGGCACGTTTACTAGACTTTCCTCCAAAATGTGTAATGGAAAATAAGACTGGTTAAAAACACTTAGGTGCTCACCCTGCAGGCCTAGGTGACCCGGATGTACTCCGAATAGAGCTCTCCACTCGAGGACTAGCCACTTCAGGAGGCTGAGGAGGAATGAGGGTTTTCCGAACTGCCATTCTGAAAGAGACAAACCCAGAAAATAGCAGCCCAAGGGTATGAGAAACACATTTGCCAGGCAAACCTATGGCAAAATAAAAGCAATATATTGACAAGGTACTTTGTAAATAAATTTTTATTATATCAAATAACAGAGGGACATTATTGAATGAGCCAAATAATACCAAAAGGCTTTTTTGGGGGTAGGGGGTACCGGATATCAAACTCAGGACCTTGCACTTTCGAGGCAGGCAGCAGAACCACTGAGCTAAATCCCCAGCCCAAAAAGGCTTTTAACAAAATGTAACAAGGTCAGGTCCCTTTGCCTTTCCTACTGGCTTTCTGCTATCTCCCTTCAGGAAGAAATCACTGTAAGTCTTTTAGCTGGTGCTTCTAGCAGGCCACACCTCTTTTCTACCAAATGTTATTAAAATTTTAACTTCTACCAACTTCTGACAGTCATTATGTCTAAGTGTTGCCATAAACCATAAGCAAGTTCTTAGAAGCCAAGTGGAAAAAAATTATCAAAGAATTAAGGATCAACTGTGTCATGCAGCAGAAGTCACATAAGGCACTGACTGAGATTTACCACTGGGTTTAGCAATGTGGACAGCACCAGTGATCTTGATATGTGTAGTTTGAATACAGTGTGCAGAACAAATGCCAGGTGAAAATGGTTTGAGAAAATGGCGAGACCAGAATATGCCACTTTCTAGTGCCTACATTAGGGTGCTAACACTTCAGAAATGGTCACAGAGATGCTATGTCCCCCGATAAAAGACTAAATCACCCAACTAAGTAGTCTTCCCACAGAAGCAAAACCAAAAAGTAAAGTGTATCTAACCCATTGTTTAGATTCAGGTAACAATTTACAAAGAATGCAAAGGATAAGAGAACAAGAGAAACCACACTGGAGTAGAGTCAGCTGAAATGAATTCCCTGTGAGTACCCTGTAAACCTATCCCTAGCTCCTGTGAATGTGACCTTACTTGAAAACAGTGCTTTTGTAAGCATAATTACATGAAGAATTTTAAGATACGATGGAAAAAAAAAAGAGAGAGACGATCACTCTGGAATTAGGGTATTTCTCAAATAAAGTGAATGGTAGGAAGGTCATGTGAATGTAGGGGCAGAGGTTGCAGTGCAATGTTGCTAGCCCAGGAATGTGAGGGACTGCTAACAGCCACTAGAAGCTACAGAAAAGATATGGACAGTTTTTCCTTAAGTTGTTAGGAGAAGCCAACCCTGCAACACCTTGATTTCAGGCTTCTAGCTACCAGAACTGTAATTTGGCCAGGCGTGGTGGCACACATCTATAATCTCAGCACTCCAGAGGCTGGGGCAGGAGGACTGCACAGGGTTCAAGGCCAGCCTGAATCACATAGCAAGATTGGGTCTCAAAAAACCCAAAAGGAACTGTAATGTAATAAATTTCTGTTGTTTTAAGCCAAAAAATTTACAGTAATTTGTTACAGCAGCACTAGAAAATTTATACAGTGGTGAAGGCTGCTGAGAAAATCCAGAGGTAGGGTTAAGGAAATCAAGTTTATATAATAAATAAATTGCAAGAAAAAAGATAGAAAAAGCCTATATATTAAAATAGTCTTAAGGGTCATACAAACTAATCACGTTGTAGGCACATCATGAAAGTATGAACTGATTCAGGGCTCTGGGTGTGGCAGAGCATCTGCCTACCAAGTTCTATACACCCAGCTTCATCAGAAAACAAAAAAAGATCACCTAAAAACTTCAAGCAAATTCACCAAGAAAAAACTAGATTTGATTAAATAATACAGAACAAAACTTGTGACAATTGTGACCACTGTAAATTTATATATTGACTGGATATTGATGTTTTTCTTCTTGTTGTCAGTGGTACTGAGGATCAAACCCAGGGGGCTTTCTACCTCTGAGCTACATCCCCATCCCTTTCTATTTTTTATCTGAGATAAGGTCTTGCTAAGTTGCCCAGGATGGGCTCAAACTTGTGATCCTCCAGCCTCAGCTTCCTGAGTACCTGGGATTACCAGCATATACTACTACAAATGGCTTATTAAGGGTTTTTTTTTAAATAAGTATGTATCTCTCAATAGATGCCTGGTGAGATATATACAAATAAAATGACGTTCACAACTTACTTCGGAGAAGGTGGCGATTAGGCACATGCACAAACAAAACTGGCCATGAGCTGCTAAGCTGATAACTGAAGCTGAGGGATGGATATGTATTCATACATTCAAAGTTTATTATGTTTAACTTTTCATAAGACCAACCCTCCTTCCATCAGCAATAAAATAGTACCAAAAGGACAACAATAAGTTTACAAAGCTGTGAGCAGTGGTGCAGGTGTGTAATCCCAGTACTCTGGAAGACTGAAGCAGGAGGATTGCAAGTTCAAGCTCAGTGTGGGCTTTTGAGACCCTGTTTCAAAATTAAAATAAAAAGGGGCTGGGAATGCAGCTCAGTGTGAAAGCCCAAAGATACAGGACTATAAACTCTGAAATAAACACACTCAAATAGCAAGATTGGTGAGGATGAAGCAGTGATGTTGGATAGTGTCAATGAATGTAACCACTTGGAAAGGCCACCTGCGCTATCTACTAGAGACAAACAACAGCACATTCACAGCCTAACCAACTCTCCTCAGGAGGTAACACAAATACATTTGTGTATGAATCAGAACTCTTCCTTGAAGGCGAAAGGTCCTGAATTTGATCCCTGGTACCAAAACAAAAACATAAGCAAAAACAAAATAAACATGAATCAGAACTCTTGTACAAAAATGTTCACGACAGCATTATACACAAAAACGTGAAAACCCCGATATCCGTGGATCAACTATGGTACTGTTACACAATGATATTTTATACATCAAGAGAAAAATTACAATCACATGCACTGAAGTTTGGTGTGGTGACACACACCTGTAATCCCAGCACTCGGGAGGCCAGCCTGAGCTACACAGTGAGACCCTGTCTCAAAATGTGGACGTACTACACAAAACCAAGTGAAAAACTTCAGATTACATGAAAAATACATAATACTGTATATGATTCTATTTATGGGGTCAGAACTTAAAAAGACTGTTAGTTACTTCTAAGAAAAGGTGCCAGCTAAATGCCACAGCAGTCAGACACTGCCAGGTCATCAGGGTGTTTATGTATTATCTGGCTACTTCCTATATACTTCCATGAAAATACTGAAACAAATACTAGCAGAACTGGAGAGAGCAAATATCATCAACTTTATTTTCTTTGCTAAGAGGAGTTAAAAATGGGGCTAGTGTGGCCGGGGATTTAGCTTAGTGGTTCCGTCGCTTGCCTTGCAAGCGCAAGGACCTGAGTTCGATCCCTGGTACCAAAAAAAATAAAAACAAAAAACAACAACAAAAAAAATGGGGCTGGTGGGGAATAGATGATGGAGCAACACAGGATCAATAGGATATTTTTAAGACAGAAGAAATGACATGTCCAGATTGGGGCGGGGGTGCTCAGTGGCAGAACACTTGCCTAGGATGTCTGACTCTCTGGGCTTGATCTCCAGGCCTGGGAGTGGAAAGGATAGCACAGAGGTTGAACATAAGTGAATGATCCTCTAGGAAAACAACAAAACCAGATGCTGTAGGAAGAGTGAAGAGCTCCCTCTACAGCAGTGATGGTAAACCTTTTATTTAGAGGCAAGTACCCAAACTGCAAACCCAGACCTACTTATTTATCACAAAGTGCCAACACTGCAATTAAACCTGAATACTGAGGTTTTAGTTTAGAAAAAAACAACTCATACGACTTGTGATGTCACTGCAGAGAGGGCTCTGTATGCTCGTTGAAGCACTCGTGCCACAGGTTTGCCACCATGGCTCTAGAGCATTACTCAGGCACTCTGAAGGGGAGCCCAGAGAGCTCTCTCTAGAGCAGCACAAGGCAATGGTGCTGGCAGGGAAGAAGTGAGAGCTGCAGTCTGTGGGAGCTCCCCTTTGATCACTTCCATTTTCTCAACAAAGTAAGAATCAAGTCCATTAGCTAACAGTGAAGGTGGGCAAGGCCTGGAGGCTCTGAGAGGAGAAACAGAATAGCTGTCCTAAGAGGATGGTGCCGGAAAACATACTCTTGTGGGCCCACTACAACATCCCAGTGGGTTTGAGGTCCAGCATTGGAGCTGACAAAGTGAAGAGGAGGCCAAGGAAGTTGAGGCAAGTGATAGCTTTGTTCAGGAAGAGCAGAGAGGGACTGTGGAAGATAGTGAAGCATCCTGAAAAGGCAGAAGCCTCCATGGATGGAAGGCTCCTGGTGGTCTGGCGGGAGCTGGAGAACTGCTAGAAGGGAGGTGGGGAGACAGAGTGGGATATGGGACACGGAGACAGAAAGAGGCCAGGAGGCTTGCAGGGTGTGTTCTAATGAAGCTACTTTGGCCTGCACACAAAGCTCAGGGAGGCCGTGTGTGTGTGTGTGTGTGTGCACGTGCGTGTGTGTGTATGTGTGTGTGGTGGGATGGCGCTTAAGTAACGAAGGGGGTCTGACAGTTTTAGGTAACAGTAAAGACAGGCACGCCATCATCACAAATGACAATCAGACATTATGTGCTACTTCTGCAGGCACAAACATCCCAGCAAAATCAAACTTGAACCTTGTCAAGCCTCTAGATTGGCCTTGTCCAAGAGGGAACCATGTGGACCTACTGAGCACTTAAAGTGGAGCCAGTATAACTGAGGAACAACATTTGTAATGTTATTTATTTTTGTTTTAATTTTTTTTTATGGTGCTGGGAACTGAAACCTGAGAGCCCTGCACATGCTAGGCAAGCACTCTACCACTCTATACTCCCAGGCCTATAGTGTTCATCTGAACTTAAAAACAGATACTCAATTCAGTTACTGGAGAACATTTCACTGAGCCTGGAATAACTTGGCTATGGGAAAGCATTTTTTCCACTACGTATGTGATGAAATCTAAATACAGATTAAATGCTTTTGAGGAGAAATGGCTGCAAATTGTAGTAAGGCATGACAAGGATGCCTACCAGACCCAAACTAAGGGACAGAAGATTCATAGCCACCGCTCTGGAGAACCGCAGGGTAAGTAGGGTCCCTGAGGAACAGCCAGGTAAAGCAAGAAGGCATGGATAAGAAAGAGGGCTGGGAATGGCAGCACAAGCCTGTAATCCTAGCACTTGGGAGGCTGAGGCAGGAAGATCACTGCCAAGTTTGAGGCCAACCTGGGTACACAGTGAGTTCAAAGCCAAGGCCAGCCTGAACTACATAGTGAGAACCTGTCTCAAAAAAAAAAAACCAGAGATAAGGACAGAAGACATTCAGATACTGAAATGTATATTACAGAGAACAGCAAAAGAATCCTGGGGAGGTGACAAAAAATAGGAAAGGGGCTGATCTTTTGTCTCTAGTGCTGTGGAACTTCAGAATATTGGCATGGGTTTATTGTATCCCCTGCATGTACTGTGCTAAGCATTTCTTTAAATCAGAAACCTTTAGTTCCCATAATTTTCTGTGAATTACTTTGTAAATTGTTCTCCATTTCTCTGATCTCTCTGTAGAAAACTCATTATACAGAGACTAGATCTCCTCAACTGGATTTTGTGTGTGTGTGTGTCTTTTCTTTCCTATTTTCTCTGCCTTTTTGCTCCACTTTTCAGATTTCTTATCTTTCAACCTATCACGTTTTAAATTTTTGTTATCATATTCTGGGCTCTAACTGCTTCTCAACAGAGTTTAGCCTACTCTCCTTTAAAAAGTGGGCCTCTTCCTTTACCCCTACCTCTTCCTGTCCTTGGTCCTCCTCAAGATTCTGCAGTATAAAGATGATCCTTAACTTACCCCAATGTAAGCTTAGCACTTAACTTTCTCACAGGCAAGGCTGTGACTACTGTATTTGCCTAGCTGCTTTTCAGCTTCCAAGTTTTCTTGCTATAGTCTCCTCTCCTCTCGCACTTATAGTCTTTTTAAAACACATAAGTACAGTAGGGGTTTAAGAGAGAGAGGAATTTGGAAGTGCTCAATCAATCTATCTTTTACTTTTTAAGAGGCATAGAAAAGATTTATTAGGCAAAGTTAAAGAAGTACACATTCGGCCAGGGATTTAGCTCAGTGGTTCGGGCACCTGCTTTGAAAGCGCAAGGTCCCGAGTTCGATCTCTGGTACCAAAAAAAAAAGTACACATTCATCTGGGTGTGATGAAGTTTATAATCCCAACACTCTCTGAGGCTGAGTCAGAAGGATCATAAATTTGAATGTAGCTAGCCTGGGCAATTTAGGGACTTAGTGAGATAAAGCACTGTCTGAAAAATTTAAAACAAAAAAAAAAAAAGGAAGGTAAAGGTCCTAGATTCAATCCCCAGTACCACATATACAAAAAGTTACACACTCAGAAAGAAAAAAGTAAGAGTATGTATACTGAAGAGACAGGGGCACCTCAATCTGCCATCTTAACTATAAACTTTCTGTATTTTTTTTTTTTTGGTACCAGGGATCGAACTCAGGACCTTCTGCTTATGAGGCAGGTGGCAGAACCACTGAGCTAAATCCCCGGCCCCCTCTCTGTACTTTTATTGACAGGGTTACTTCACCATAAGCTGACTTATACCAAAAAAAAAAAAAAAAAAATCTTTAAAAAGTACTCATAATCACTAAAGTCAGGAACTCTGGTCCATGCAAAGCTCTGCACATCTGAAAACCCTACTTCCAGCAAGTTTGCTATGCTTTAGCCACTTGCCAGTCCAATTATTTAAATACAGGATGACCAACAATTGCTTATTTTTATAAGATAATGTAATACAAAATATAGAAAACAATACTTTTATTGAATTTATTCAATAATCTTTGATTTCAATAACATCTTACAACATTCAACACAATGCAATGTTACAATCTGGACAGTAGCATCTAGTCTCTTTCAGAATTCTTTTTCCTTATTGTCTTTCTTTTTTTTGATACAGGGATCAAACTCAGGACCTTGTGCTTGTGAGGCAGGCGGTGGCACTCCTGAGCTAAATCCCCGGCCCTAGTGTCTTTCTTTGAACGCACTTTATACTGTCGTTGGCCTTTCATTTTTTTCTGTGGGTGGTATAATTTCAATAAAATGTCTATCCACTAAATATAATGGTGAAGATGTTGATAATGGACATCCTGGTTGGTATTTTGCTATCCCATATTTTTCAATTATTTAGACTATCAGACCCAATCTAAACTGTAAATGAACCCCCTTGTTTTGAATAAATAATAAACAAGTTCCATATTGTTTGGTCCAGAAGGTGCATAACTATTTTATAATAACATTTTCTCCTCACTTTTGATTACAGGATAGATAGCTTGTTAGATGTTGGTCAACTCTGTCAACACGACCCACAGAATTTTTATAATCATCAACCACTATTGGGATTTGTTTAGTTTCACTTCTTTCAAGTTCTATCATTTCTATATTTTGAATAGTTGACAGTAAGAAGATGTCTTTTTGGTCTTTCCATTTCATAACACAGACTTTTGCTCTCTGAAATGCCAACATTTCTCCCTTTTTCAGTTTTTTCTTTTGCAGATCTTTTCGGACTTCCTTCCTATTCAGCCTCAGTGTCTGTTTTGTATTATAGAAGAATATCACTAAGTTCTGGAGAAGTATAAAAAACTATATCTAGGGCCAGGGATTTAGCTCAGTAGTTCTGTCACCTGCCTCGCAAGCAGAAGGTCCCAAGTTTGATCCCCAGAACCAAAAAAAAACCCAAAAAACCCAAACAACAACAAACTATATCTAATGTACTTATAAGTTTTTACAATAGATTATAGCACAAAATTATAGGGATTTTTTTCACAAATAAACACAAATCAGTAAAATAACCAGAACTTATTAGAGTTCACTAGAAACAAATATCAAAGGTGTATACAACATTCTAAATTAAAAAGTATGCACAAAATAGTGGATATAAAACAAATAAACAAACATACTAGTCTATCTCGTGCAAATAAGAATGGACTGGTTGAAACGACACCTTCCCCACCTTCCCGAGCGAAGCTGGGGACAGTCAGGACATAAACAAACACAGTGCCCAGTGAGCTCAGGGTGAACTGTTCAGTGGTTAATCTTCCAATGCTGATGTTATCAGCTCAGCAGAGCCACAGAAACTCCCTTCTCTGAAATGTGCTGCTCACCTCCCATCACCAGAATATGTAATAGCACAGCACACACCTTCCTATGACCCATCAATGGAGAAACTTCCATAGCAACACAAAACACCATCAACTACGAGCAGCCTTAATACTCTTTGAAAATGACTTGTCCTTAGCAAAACTTTATGCTACAGCTGTGTGATTAAACTTCGAGAACCAATGAGATCTCCAAGAGCAGCACAGATACTTAGAAACTGAAAACCCCACTGACTTGAAGATTCCTCATTTCTTACAGTCTGAGCTGGGCGAGATTCTCCCAAATAATCCTCAAGTCAGGATGTTTTGGAGGAAATTTAAAAATGTCACAGAGATGAAAGCTTAGGTTGTTTCCTGCATTGGCTACGAGAGCCTACTGTTTATGCCAGTTACATCCAGAATTAGAGGCATCACTTAGCACCTCCAGATCTACTTACCCATCTGCTGCAGGTTTTTTCCGGAGGATGCTTGGCCGGGGAGACGAGCCCTGGGCAGGAGCATTGGTGCTAGCACTCTGGCTGTGGGTCTGCACCACCGTGGTTGCTGCGGGAGCAGCACTGAATGGATTGCTGATAGGATTGGCTACAATCGTGGCTCCATCTGCCAACACCACTGCTGAAGGAAAGAGAGGTGGCAGAAAAGAACAATGAAGAAAATGAAAGAGAAGAAACTACTAAAATGTCACATAAAACAGTGCAAAGGCCCGGGGTTCAATCCCCAGTACCTGGGGGGCAAAAAAGGGATAAAGAGATCTGGGGAGAGAGATGTAGTTCAGTGATAGAGAATACCTAGCATGCCCTTGAGTTTAATCCCTAGCTTTGAAAAAAAAAAAAAAGAGTAAGGACAGCAAATGCTTTAAAGCAGACAGCACAGTGGGGAAGGTTAGGAAATCTATTCTGATACACTGACAGAATGATATACTTACTTTTTTCTTTGTTCTATATCAGTTACTAGTAAGACAGACAAAGTACACAGAGTATCTAGCAAAATATCTCTACATTTTTTTACTTACATAATTCTTATGATTATAACCTCTATTTTAAATCTCTATTTTAAAAATGGGAAAACTAAAAGTCTAATAAAATGAAGACCAACATGCTGGCTTGATAGCATGTTCTAAAGTACCCTTACAAGAGGGGCTAATGCAGTTTCTGGAAACACGACTCCCCTTCATTCTAAGAACGGGGCTATCCTCCAGTTTATCCTTAGGAAGACACTCATCCAACAGGTATTTTAATTACATAAAGTTAGCATCAAAATACTGGCAACCATAATCACAAACTACTTGCACTGACAGTTTTTGACCTATAAAAACAGCAATTTCATAGTAGTCAATGCCAAACAAGTTTCTTAGGGAGCCGGGGATTTAGCTCAGTATGCTGCCACCTGCCTCACAAGTGCAAGGTCCTGAATTCAATCCCTGGTACAAAAAAAAAAAAAAACCAAAAAAACAATTATACACCATTATAGATGCAGGTGTACCATCCTTCCAACTGGGCTATTATGGGCAAATCGCACCTCTATCACAGTCATTTAGTAAGAGTTTGAGAAGACTGATTAAATAAATTCAAGATCTATATAGCAGGTTGAATGTCATGGTGCACACCTATAATTCTAGCACTCTGGGAGGCTGAGACAGGAGGATCACATGTTCCAGCACAGCCTGAGCAATTTAGTGAGACCCTATCTCAAAATAAAAATAAAAATAAAAATAAGAAAAGGGATGAGAATATAGGTCAAAGGTCCTTGAGGCAACAAACACAAAGACCTACATAGCAATTAAAATTCTCAGTTTTAGACCAAAGATATAGCTCAGTGGCAGACCACTTGTTTAGTATATGTTAAGACCTTGGTTTGATTCCCAGCACTTCAAAAACAACTAAAAGCAAAACAAAACAAAAATTTACTTCTAAGTTACCTATTCATTTTATAGTTCATGTAAAAGACATTATATTTTTGAGACAACATCTTCAACTTGTAACCTTCCTGCCTCAGCCTCCCTGAGTGCTGGGATTATAAGTATGCGGCATCATGCTCTGCTGTAAAAGATGATCTTTAAGATCAACACTCTGGATGAGAAACAATTTTTCTTTAACATGTGCAGGATGGGCCATAATTCTTTTATCTTGCTTCCGGGCAGCTCTGATTTGAATTTGATCATCCTGACAGCTTGAAACACTAGTGGCACATGCGTGACTCTGAAAACATGGGTGCCACTGTTACTGCAAAAAAGCCAAACGTTATGGTATTCTGCACGCTCCACAAAAATCAGCTGCCTTTATGTATAATATGTTTTTTAAATGGAATAAATTTCTTTTCATTTAATAAAACAGATTTGTTAATTTAATAATTAATTGGTATAAATAATGTTAATTTATATTTGGACAGTTAAGTATTCAAATTCAAGCACCAGCTAGATTGGTCCATTTATAGACTTCTCATTAATTTTATTAGTAAAAAGACCAAAAAAAGCAATTTGATAGTACAAGCTGCCTGATGGGACAGTCATGCATGGACCACCAGTGTTCAAGACAGTGAAAATGTGTCGAGCACATCAGAGAAGTAGCTAATTAGCTAACACTCCAAACATAGGGACATATTCTATTTTACAAAATATTTATTCTAGTAGTACTTCTTTGTAGGCACTGACAACATGAGATAACATTAGTATAAGATTTTACAGCTTTACATACAAATCTGAAGACAGTCGTTGTAGGAACCAGTCTCTGAGCTCGAACCTGACCAAGGGGCGATGAGGATGTAAGTAAAGAGTCAGAATCAGGTTAAAATGGGGGTGGGGGTGGGGCAGCAGAGGGCTCATCTCCCTTCAGCAGAGTGCCCCAGGTGACTAGTGTGCCTCAGCTTTATTCACTCAGACACAGGCACAAACAATTAGGGTTCCACAGGACTCATTTGTCTCCCTCCCTCCATGGCACTTGTCTGGGTAAACAAGATCTCAGGTGTTTTTACTTTTTCCTGCAGCATATCAGCATGCTTGCATGCTGCCCTTCTTCTTATTGCTCACCAAGGAGGCCAAATTAGGCTTCATTCTTCCTATCTGGTCTCTCACAAGTCATAAACTAAATGAGAACACTACTTGTAAGGTAAATCTGTTCCCTCAATTAAGTGTGTTTTATAGACTGCTTCTCACAATATGCAAATGCATATCAGGCTGTTTGTATGCTATTTCTAATGTTTACAAAGAAAAGTTAGTTCTAAGCAACTCAGAAGAGTTGCAACTCTAAGCAATTCAGAAGAAACTAGGGCCTACAGATATTACCAGAAACCACAAAAACAGCAAGTTGCAGAGCCAGGATTAAAACCCAAATACACTTCTTTTCACCATAGCACCTTCCACGTAAAGACTTAAATTTACCTGAAGTCTTTCCTTCAGGCTGTGGTTGTTGAGTACCCACTGGTGCAGGCTGAAGCCCTTGAGTGTTGATTGGAGTTGCTGAGTGGATTCCCTGTGTGCCAATTGGTGCTGGCTGTATCCCTGGTGTCCCGATGGGTGCTGGCTGTATCCCCTGTGTACTGATGGGTGCGGGCTGGATCCCCTGGATATGTCGTGCATGTGATGCATCCACTGTCATCAACTGCATGGGGTTCAGATGGACTGTAGATGCTACCCCAACACCAGTCTGAGCTGTGATGGCAGAGTTTGGAGCCTGAGCTGAAACTAAAAATTAGGAGAAATGTTGACTACCAGAAGCTTAGCTCTGATTAGGTATGGTCCACATAAGGAAAAACTACTAAAATGAAAACAGAGTTTTCCACTGCATAAGATCTAAATCCTATATATAATTTAGCTAAATCCCTTTTGGTATATTAAAGAATGTGTTCACTGAAATATTATAATAACAATATAAAGTGTACTCTAGTTTTAAAAAATGAAAATGTTTCCCAGGAAAATTTTAAAACTTTGTACCATTAAAGAACAAAATAAAACAAGAAAAACCACAGCTACTTGAAACTGTATACTAAGAACTATTTTTTCTTTTCACTTCCTACTAATGTAATATTGTCTTTCTGCAAATTATTAGAAATATTACGTTACACACTCAGAAAGAAAAAAGTAAGAGTATGTATACTGAAGAGACAGGGGCACCTCAATATGCCATCTTAACTATAAACTTTCTGTATTTTTTTTTATTTTGGTACCAGGGATCGAACTCAGGACCTTCTGCTTGTGAGGCAGGTGGCAGAACCACTGAGCTAAATCCCCGGGCCCCTCTCTGTATTTTTATTGACAGGGTTACTTCACCATAAGCTGACTTATGCCAAAAAAAAAAAAAAAATCTTTAAAAAGTACTCATAATCACTAAAGTCAGGAACTCTGGTCCATGCAAAGCTCCACACATCTGAAAACCCTACTTCCAGCAAGTTTGCTATGCTTATAGCCACTTGCCAGTCCAATTATTTAAATACAAGATGACCAAAAATATTATTAA